TCAATCTCTTCACCATTCATCCTGATGCTGCCAATTGGTCCAGTGGTGAGAATCTATTGGCACACTTACGATATATGATTCAGTAATCCCATTCCTAAATGTTTAGAAAGAAAAACTTAGTTCCATACATAAACCTGTACAGGAATGCTTCTAGCAATAATATTCATAATCACCCCAAAACTCTGAAACCAAATGCATTTTAATGGGTGAATGGATAAACAAATTATGCAATACAGCAATCCAATGGAATGCTACTCAGGAAAATAAATGAACTTGGATGAATCTCAAAGGCATAATGCTGAATGAAAGAAGTCAGTTTCAAAGGCTATGTATTATATAATTCTATTTATGTGACATTTTCTAAAAGACATCACTTCAGTGATGGAAAACAGAACAGTAGTTGTCAAGAAGCATGGCTGGAAGCTAGATGTTGTATGAGGAAATTTTTTACAATGATGGAAACATTTTCAGAGTCTGGTGATGGTTACAAAAATCTAGCCATGATTTATAATTGACAGAAATATACATTTAAAAGGACTTTTCAATTTTATTATAAATTAATGTAAGAAAGGAAATGAAATATTATCATAACCATTATCAATAGCTCTACTTTTCTGGATAATACTCAGAATTAGTTATGATAGGTTTAAAATAATCATGGTCAATCTGATACAACCTAAGGGAGCACTAGCGGTCGTATGCATACTTAAAAATAACATTAAATGTAAAAGCTTTCTAACTTCTACTAACTCCTCTCTTCAATATACTATGTCAGGAAATATGCTTTCTCTGGGTAATTTTCTATAAACATTGTCAATTACTGAACATGGACTTAAGTACGTACTTAGATTAGAAGTCTGGGATCTGAGGCTACATTCCTCAATCTAACACTGTAAGAAAACTTTCAAATTGCCTTTTGTGCCTAATTTTATCTTTCTCTTCCTTGAGGTCATGTACTTGTCTGCACTTGTCTTTTTGTGGTATGCTGTGAGGGTTTAATACAAGGTATTCCAAAGACAGGAAACAGAAGATTCATGTACCTCCCCCCGAAACACCAGGTACTGTTCTAAGTGATTTACAAATATTGATTTATTTCTCACTATGGACCTATAATATGAGAGAGCTACGTTGGCCTAGTGGAAGGAAGCTGTGCAACCAAGCCGAAGGTAGGTGATTGTCATCTGTGGCCCTCGGCCAGGTTCAAATTGTCTTCCTGTCAAACATTCTTCTAGGTGGTATAGCACTGGTCTGTG